CGAATTGAATAGCTCTTACTGCATAGGAATTATGATTGTCTTTGTACATACCAAGAGACATTGTGAATCCATGTAGCGAGTCCCTGACCTTCATTGAAGTGGGTACTCAGGGCATACAGAAATCAGAAACCGATGGCAATGGGTATATTGTCACATTCCATCTCTAAAATCCAAAGGCCTACGAAATAAAACATGGCGCAAAATAAAACCTCCGGTCGTAGCCATAACTTTATTAGCTTATATTTGCAACGTATATCTTGTATGTATATTTGGTGTGCGTAAATTCAGCTCCACCGCTAGCAAATAAAAGGGCGATATGTACTTCACACCCTCGTGCGTCAACTGTAATTTTTCGTGCTGCCTCTGTCGTCTCTTTTGACGAACCTGACCCCTGTGGATTATTCGACACTTGACACCAATACTACAATTTTCCCACACGTGGGCCGACACGTGTGTTTGGTGTACATACGCAACTAAGGGAATAATAATTTATTTCCCCGTCAATTGCAGTTGAGTAAAGAGAGTAGATGGGTTTGAACCCAGCCGAACTCAGTCCCAAAGACGCTCTCTGACCACTGTGGATTACTCGACACTTGACACCAACACTACAATGTTAAGAGTCCACACGTGGGCCGACACGTGTGTTTGGTGTACATACGCAACAAAGGGAATAATAATTTATTTCCCCGTCAATTGCAGTTGAGTAAAGAGAGTAGATGGGTTTGAACCCAGCCGAACTCAGTCCCAAAGACGTTCTCAGAAACTCTCTCAACCGCTGGCCTCAACAGTGCCTTACCACTGGCAAGAAGGTGTGTTCACAATGGCAGATTTTACCTCTGTGGCAGTGTGTCCACTATCGCACAGGTGTGCCAACACACGTGTGAAGCGAATGTGGTACTCGTCAATCGGGTGGCACTCTTCGTGGAACGCCACAATGCTGTCGGAGAGACAATCGTGGTCCTTGATGGAGCTCACGTATTTCTGAAAGCAAAACAATGAAGGCCGGAAACAATAGAAGATTGAGCGAGGCAAGTGGCCAAAATACGACGAAAAGCCAAACACGTCGCCGAATTTTGGTTTAAGCATCGTGGCTATGATGAGATTGAAAATTGGCAAAAACTCAAAGTTAAAATCTATAACTAACAAACTCGTATCTTTTTGTATCATACCTCGTGCAATCCATTCGACTTGCTGCCGGCTACATTCCAGGCCACAGACATGAAGCGGTCCTCTGCACGCTGAATGTTGCGGTACTCCTTCTGCAATTCAGCCTCAATGTCTCCGAAAGCAGCCTGTGAATGCAGATCATTCGATTAACCAAGGTTTGATTTTAAAAAACAATACATTAATCCGAGTCTGTATATATCACGATTCAGTTCCGAGTGTTTCCGTACATATGTAAAAGCACGCTCGATCACACAATACATACCTGGTGCTCGTCGTCGACATCATTCGCGCCCATGAGTCGCTGCAGTGTCTGCGCGGTCACATCACGGGATGAGACGGCATCCAACTCAGCCTGTACTCTGTTCTCAGCATATGTCTTTCCGTTCATGCCAGACTTAAGCTGGTCCGCACGGCGCTTGCGACCAAAGTTGGGCTTGTTCAGGTTGTTATCTTGGTATTGCTGTGATGAGGGTTGAAGGACAGCGTGAGATATCAATATGCAAGACATTAGCGACAGACGAAACAGGTATCCAACGCACATAGACGCATGGCTGATAGCGAGTGCGAGGTGAAGGCGCTGCTGTTATCAGATACAACCGCATACCAAAACAAATGACTAAATAAATAACATGTCTCCAAAGTCAGAAATGCCTCGTTGCCTTGTTTTGTATGCAGAGTCGAATGCCGAAGTTAAACACGAATTCCAAGCATACCTGGAACTCCTCGATGGTGGCTTTGTTAGCGTACGGGATATCGCCATACTGCTGAGGCTGTGAGCTCTTGGAGGTACGGGCATATACCTGCGTATACTGCTTTTCGAGCGTCTCGATGTCCTTGGCGTGGTCGATGAAGAAATGCTTGTCTGTACACGAATATTCGATCGAATGAGATATCGTAATAGAAATAAACGACTTCGCATACATAGCGCAGAAAATCGTATAGTACAGCAAAACCAAGCAAAGTGTTACAACAATCGATTGCGGTTTTAATATCAGATACATGACTCAGGAGTATGCTTGTCAAGACTGCCCAATCAATTCTCGACGTGTATTGTATTGTGCGAGACATATAACCGTGATAGTATAAAGATACACAACATGTAAACATCTATGATCCTCATCACGTACCACTGTCCTCCATCCAGCTGACGGAGTATAGATCTCCCAAGAATGTGCGGCGTGACATATCCCAATAGGTAGCGTACGATGACTGATTGCCAGTAGAGGCAGTGGTGGCAAAGATGTTCCAGTCGTTGGGCAGCAAATTGTCAAACATACTTCCAGACTCGCAAGCCTCCATGTAGAACACCTGCGGTGATACGATACCAATTTGATCAGTCATTTTTCTTTTCCCTGGATTGTGTATTTATGTGCGATACTACAGTACTTACTAGAGAGACAGAAATGCGTTGTTATTCCATTTAAATGGTACATATAAATTTTGGACTCGAAAAGGAGACTCGGCAGACACCAACTATATATAAACACCAAGTACCATACCAGCTTGCCGTACATGTCGTTGTCCTTCATCTTCTCAAGCGTGCTGTGCAGCTGCCTGGATGTCACAATCTTGCCCTCCGGGAAAGCAATCAAACCCACACCACCATGGTCGATGAAGTTTACAAATACGTGGTCGTCGGGACCAGATTTGAGTGTCTTTCCATTGCCCACGTGCATTTTCTGTCCGGTCAAAACCTGTGTCAAAATGGAGGTGTCAACGTGATTGAGTGAGGTATAACTTACTTATGGTGCGACTAAACAAGATCCATGTGCTTCAAGACGTCATACACCAGAATAGTGCTGGATCTGGTTCTATTTGATGTGAGTGTACGTATACGACTGCAATGACTTATGTGCATGTTGACAAGGAATCTGCGCGATATGTACAGTACTCACCTTCACGCCACATCAAGATGAATGAAATAAATCCGAGAAACAATACATGAAATACACCATCTGAATTCCGTTTATCTTACCTTCTCGAAGTTCTCAGGGGTTACATCACTACCTCTGTAATCGACTTTGCACCCCTCATACACGTTTTCGCCTCCAGGCTGATTGATCAAATTTCCAGGGAATGGGTTTCTGATATTGTTAGCTACATCATCCTTCATCATCAGAATGATGTGGTCTTCGGGGTAGCCATTGGCTCTCAGAATCTGGTAAGCGTGGCATGCATCTGTTCGGTAGTTTGAATAGACAGAGCAATGTGAATTATGTTTTTGAATATTGCGCAGAAGGCCAAACTGATTAGAATCTAACCAAATTAACATACGCGCTAATACAAATGGATCTAATGTCAATATAGATATTACCTGCTTGATGACGGTAGTTGAAGTAGCCATCGCTACCGGCAACAATCACGGCCCAGTTAGTTCCTGTGAAATCAAGTGAACCTGAAAAGGTTAGTGAGAATCTGACAAGAAAAAGTATGAACTTGATGTAACAAGTTTGGCTGGATCCTTTTGCAATTCAACAACTATGGCTAAACACTAATAAACATACAGAAACAAAGATATATATATATATATATGTATATATATATAAAGATATATATATATATATATATATATATATATTATATATATGTATGTATGTATAGATATATAAAGATATATATATATATATATATATATAAAGATATATATATATATATATATATATATACATGTGTGTGTGTATATAGATATAAATATATGTAAATATATATAAAGTATATATATATATATATATATATATATATGTATATATATATATATGTATAAAATATATATATCTATATAATTTATATATACAATATATATATATATATATATTTGTATATATATATATAAGTAAAAACAGAAAGTCCGATCACCCCGTGTATTAGGATACTCAAGAAATGGGGGGAAGTGGAGGGAGGTGACAACGCACAGTAATCGATATGACTCGCTCATAAGTAGAAAGGCAAGGTATGAACAAGAACAAGCTTCGCTTATAAATATTTGCCACCTCTAGTGCAGGCTGTGCGTGTCAAAACTTGAGCGTTCTTGTGTATGTACATGCGCTACACATATTGTATCGTCGATGTAAACACATTATTCCCCAGTGTTGGGCGTTACATCTCTGACAATTAAAAAAGGTACTGAATATCACTAAGTGCTTAACACGCGCTCAGCCTAAGTATATTCAGCCTTGTGTTGCAGTATATATAGATACTTCAGGGTGGTGTCGTCTACGCACAAAAGGATTAATAATCCTATTGATATACTTACATATGGATATCCAATCCAATCGATGTATACACATAGGGACACACGTTCCGGCTACTTGGTTCGACGTACACGTACACACCTGTGGCCTTGCCTGACTCCGACTGGTGGTGGTGGATCTGTCGGTGGTGCACGGGAGTGTCTCCGAACATCCAATGCTGGAACGAGTCCCACACGCCCGAGAAACTCCAAGCATCGACTGCGCCAGCCGATACAACCACCACGCCCAAAACGGTAGAAGCAAACTTCATAATAGATACTTGCGACGGAGAGATGACGCTAGCTCTAGGTTATGGGCTACAAATAGCGAGAACGCAGTTCCTTTATACATATTATTTTCCTCTGGTCTATGACAAATTGTAGAGGCGGCTACCATAGGCTTAAAAATATTGTGCATTTAAAATACGTTTTTGGCTGTAATGACTTGGTCAACAATAAAAATTTCAACGACTGTATAGAGAATTTGGGGACTCTGTCATCAATACAGTGATAAACGTACTACAACCTGTCAATATTTGATAAACGTACTATGTGTCACAGCTTTTCAGTTTTCACTCAATACCAGCGAAATTAGGTCATTCGGCCGATGATATTAGTATTTACAACTCAATGAGTGGAATCAGATATTTTTCAATGAAATAAATAGAGCCAAATTACTCCTACGCAGACGCTCGCCTGCTTGGAAGCCTTGAATGGTTAAAAAAAAATCATAGTCCACACAAACTCCATAAATCCACTTCACTCATCATCAGCCTTCCAAGAAGTTTCTAAAAATATTTATTTATGTACATTAGTCATTTGTCTACTCTCTATGCTGACAGCCCCAGATCGCAGGAATCAGGATGCTGCAAAACATAGGGCCACAAGTTCACGCATATTTACATTATGTACCCGCGGCATGTTGGAAACCCTTGTGACAGTGAGGAATGCAGGACTCGCTTTTACTTATAGCGTTGCCCCCTGTGACCGTTTTATGTATATATTTCAACTCGAACTGGGATTTCAATGTAGTTTTCAGTTTTGCACAAAAATATGAACGCCCGATAGCTTGTGAAAACAGCTGCCGATAAGTGGCGTTATTCGCTTATTCTGTGGCTCACGACTTCCGGATGAACATTAGAAGCTTCACTACTTACATCTCATACATATTGACAGTTAGACCTGTCACCCCAAACTGTTACCAACTCAGGACCAAACAAGACATACCACAAACACCAATATATCCATGCAGGTTATCATGTCCCCTTGCATAAACAAATCGCGCCTCATATCGCTATGCAATTTCAGTTAGGGAAGGTGCCCCCGTGTTTATCACGAACCGACATCGAGATTCTTATATATACACCAACAACGATATTACTTATAGAAAAACGTATCATATAAAGAATAGAAGCATATATGATAAAATGAAATAATTTATTCCGGGTTCCAGCACCTTATTATGCAATGTTACAAACACATATCGAAGCGGATATCCGTGCAGACAGGCAGTTCAACTCTTTAGCTGCATTATTTAATAACCGACCTCGATCACTGTAAGAAATACGATGTTGGGTGCAAAGTTAGTACATAGCCACGATATGATCTAAGTTGTGAGCAATATTAGCTGATGAGCATTTAGTTACTGAAAAGAATATTCTAGGGCAAATATAACGTTCATCTGCCGAAACAAAAACCCTATGTCTATTCGAATAATACGTATTCGAATAATACGAATGCACATGTAACACTGTAAATTAGAATATTTGATTTGACTCAAAGCAACTAGTGCAGAGTGAAGGCAATATAAATTTAGCCAGATTATGTCATGGGGTACTGAATCGAGCATAAATCGGAACACCAATTGACGAAAGAATAGGTATAAGCATATTCTGATTTTGTAATTTCGAGGTCATGGTAGAATCTACTCTCGATACTGAAAGTAAACACAGCCCAGGTATATTAAGATACTGCTCTGATATACGTATCATCAACATCAACACACACTTACGGTAGTCTGCAAGCTTCTCCACAACCGTGGCGGCTTGGCGGGGCTGGATGTTTGAGCCCTCGTACACCGCAATAAGGACACACTGTCCAGTCTTAATGACAAAACAACCATTGTCTGAACCCTCCTTGCCGTATACCGAGCGATCGGGCTCGTTTCTTAAGAACATATACTTCTTTCCGGCTATGTAAATTCCACTATACATGGGAGTGGGGTCAGCACAACCGGCAATAAGCGCTGCAGCCTCGGCAGGTGTTACTGTGAAGCCCGATGACGAGGCCCAGGGGTTACCATCCAAACCGTGGATAGCGGCCTTGGAAATGTGACCAGTTCCAACTAGGTTAGTATCGACTGTGTGTGTACATATACGATTTATCATTAGTATAAGGTTGTATATAGCTACGCGAAGTAAACTAGCTAAGCACTTGCGAGCGATAGAGATAAGTCTGTGGTTGAAAACAGTTTTGTATAAACAAGATTTACAGGCAGTCACTTTTCTTCGCAGAGACATCCAAATTAAAAGCAAGTGGGTCGCACATGCATCATCCAAAACGTATGTGCGGATAACTACATATCACTAATAGAAGTAGAGAAGTAAACAGATATACTCACCGTATGCTTGCCAAGACATGTTGTACGAGATATTCTATATATATATGCGGGATAGTCTGACTGATTCCGCTCGATGTTTTTCCTTTTATATCGCCTACTTCAAAATCCGAACGGCAAATGCATATTCGAAAAATCGGGATTGTTTTGTTTGTTTATGTTTGTCGCTGTCGAGATTTCGCACGTTCCGAATATATCCGAGAATATCTTTGTCGCAAATCTAAAGGCAAAAGAGAAAAACTATGTCGCAAATTCAGGCTTGAATCTAAACCGCGAATCCGATAGTACAAAGAAGTAACATTATTCTATTCACTGGCTTCTATGACTTGTTGCTGAGTAAGCAACAGAAGATACGGTTTGCGCGAAATGGCCAATGAAGAATTGGAGAAAAGCAGAAATGAGATAGCTCGAAACTCAGATATCACAAAAGCTTTTTTATCTTTCGAGTATCTCTTCCTGGCACGTATCGAGATATTTGAGTATAGATAGAGCTTGATGTGAATCGGAGAGTGCAATCGTGCATTCGATAAAAAGTAAATAAAGGAGAGATTAGAAATGCAAAATAAAAGGTATTTATCGGGGCATGTGTTGATTTTGTATACCTGACTCCTAAAGTCTCGCTCAAAGTGCGCGCTGAGTAAGTAGTGAAGGTTATGATTGAGTAGAGGGAGACCATCATATTTCGCCCTCGATATACATTGGTTCGAATATTGCACAGTATTGGTGTATATCATACATTTTGATCTCATATTCATGTCCGTAAACGTTCTGCTGCAGTGAATTAACTTGTACTTGAAATATGCTCAGGCGCAATTAACTACTCGATTAGAAGAATGAGTTCCAAACGAAAGTAATTTGAGACAACAGTAGGAAGCGACGTATACATCTATAGTTTAACTCATTCTTTGCGACGCTGCGTACGTATAACTTTTACCGGTTATATGTCCGTAGACCAATTGCTAATTACAGTATTGGCAACATATTCATTCTCGATATTGAATGAGAAGGCTATTATCGTCAATTTTGAGCAACCGTTATATGAGGATTGAAATATCATATTGACAAAGCTCACACTGGACAACAATATATAAATAAACACCATATGTATATACATATGTATATGTATGTGTATGTGTATATATA